GTTTTGCAATTTTGTATAGGCATGAGATAATCTATCATATGCACAAGCGAGTTCATTGATGGATATATCACTATCGGATTCCGAATCGCTTACCACACTAGGGCTATCGCCTAGTGGCCGTGTGCATGATGATGCTCCACACTCACTTGAAGAACAATCCTCCAAACTACGTCGGATTTCCTCCAAGTTGCCTTGATGTGCTTCTATGAATTTCCATAAATTGTAAGCACTATCAAAATGAACAAATTTGTTAGAAAAGGATGAGTCGAAGGCATTAAGCAAATATTCTAACAAAAACTTGTTCATATTAAACATTTTCTTATCATGATCGCTCCACTTGGATTTCTCCAATGTGGGCACAATGTAAGCACAATCAATAACTTCCCATAAGTTGATATTTCTAGATTGCACAAATAGTTTAAATCTAGAGGCCCATTGTGCATAGGGGAAATTAATGAATTTAGGAGCAATATTTGATTCATAGCCTAAACGAAATATATTCATATTCATGATATATATGTGAAAATATGCAAGCAAGACTAATGTAATCATAACTAGATTAGCACAAATAAGATAACTTGGATCTTTAACTCAAGGTGGTTAGACCTTAAATCAAAGAGCACCAAGCTCTGATACCAATTGTTAGACCCTAGAGGGGGGGTGATTAGGGTCTTATGCTAATCTAATCCGATTAAATGCCAATTAAAACTAATTAATAAGTTATCCTAGCAAGTATAAAATACAACAAGATACGTAAGCTAGGATAAGCAATATGAACAAATGAATATATCCTATCAATGAGATATTACAAATATATGAGCAAGGATATATGAACTAACACAAGGGTAAAATAAACAATCTACACAAGTGATAGGGTAATATGATGAGCAATACACAAAGGCGATATAAGATATGAAAACAAGAATAAGAACGCCAATGCAATCACAAACAAAACGATATGTTTACGAGGTTCGGTCCCCACGACCTACGTCCCCGCTCCTCACCTCGAGGAGATCTCCACTATCACAACCGGGTTTTCTACGTTCACCCGAACAACGTTTACACCTCACAATACAATCACTATGTAATCACACCTCACACACTAAGTGTTGGTCCTAGCCCGTGTCCTCCTCCTCAAGTGCTCGGTTACAACCTCTCCCTAGGCACGTCAACCGACGCCACTCCTCTTGGATTCGACCCCGTCTCTCACCACACACTTCTCTCGGTGTACAAGTGTATTACAAGTGAATCCTCACAATTAAGCACAAGATAAATCAATTGATTGTTCTCTAAACAAGGTGAGAACTCAATTAAGCACAACTCTTAGTCACTTATCTCACAACCCAAAATTATACTATGAATGTAAATACAATAAGCTCAATAGGTTGTGTGTGAACAAAGAGATAATAAAATCAACTAAACTCAATATGAACACTAGCTTAATAAAAAGATAATCAAACAATATAAAATATGAAGCTAGATTGAGTTTAGAAAACTTCTCAATAGATCAAGAGTGGAAGGAGAAGAGTTGGATGCTCAAACACCAATAGATGATCTCCTCAAGCTCTTGTGGAAGTGATTCACAAAACCAAAACACTCAAATGCTTAAAAGCTTATAAACACGGTATATATACCCTCTAAGCAACTCAGCAAAAACACCCAAAACAAAAGACCAAAAGACCCAGCCAACGGTACAAAAACTAGCCGTTGGAAACAGTAAAAGCCATCGTCGGTCGACCGGAAATTCTGTCGGTCGACCGATGGAAAAGTTCGGTCGACCGACGGAAAATTCGGTCGACCGTTATCCAGGTCGAAAACGAGAAACCAAGCAGGCCTTAGCCGGTCGACCGGTGCGGTCGACCGATGGAGCTTTTCGGTCGACCGGACCGGTCGACCGACCAACTCTTTGGACCATGCTAACGAAAGAACAAACGAGCGGTCGACCGGTGCGGTCGACCGAATACTGATACTTCTGAAAACTGTTTATCTGATTTTGAAACACTGTTTAAAAATATCAAATAAATTCCAAAAAATGTAAAACTTTGGAGAATGATTGTAGACATGATAATAAACATGCTACAACGACTGGTTTCGAAAAAGGACTTCCCAAATGAAAAATATCATCATTTTACAAAATAGTCCAAAACATGAAAACCTGAAAATTGATATTTTGATATTTTGACTTAAACAACATTTTGAAACCTTATGAAATGATTGTATAGACTTGATAAAAGATATAACATGTTGTTATGAAGTCTATAACCTAGAAATACAATATTTTCATAAAATTGCATATTCTATGCAATATATTCAAAACACTAAATATGATTTCATTAAATATAAGCTTGTTAAAGATGAAATCATATATAGGCATATAAACATGAAACAAAATAGTATTTTCCAATTCTATTCATTTGTTTCATAGTAAAACTTGAAAACTATCAAACCAAAACATATATGTATATATATAACTATATATATACAAAAACCAAAACGTGTATGTGTGTATATGATTGAGCTTAAAGTACTAACACACATAATATAAATTCCTAAACTAAATTACCCAAGCAATCTTGATCTTCAACGAAGCTCTATCTTGGTAATCTTGCGGATGAAGCTTTAACTTGGATCTTGAACTTTAAATAGCAAGGCTTCACCGTCATTCCGCCAACCTCCTTTGGATATGATCGTTGAAGCTCTATTCCATCCATCCTCCAACAATGTTGTTTGTCTATAATAAATACGAAAACACAAATACTAGACAAACAACATTAGTAATAAATTGTTTGTTAAACATCATCAAAACAAGAAGGCCAACAGAGAGTCTTAGAGACCACTCCCCTAGTGCGGTCCCCAAAATGACCTGGGCCTGGAATCTCACTAGAGGTCTCCTAATGACGGTGGTGATGTCGGTGAGACTCGTCAGCGCAAGCTAATTGACGCGGTGGTGGGGATACATGTTCAATGTGATCCCCCATCTGTTTGGCAGCAGCATGAGGAGTCCGAGGCTGGACTACTCGCTGAGCTACAGTAGGAGTATGAGTTTCCGACCGCTAGTCTCCTGAAGGAGGGAGGAGAGCTAAGGTAGCTCGCTGTGGCTGTGGAAGCCAGCTGAGAAGTTCATCAGTAAAGATAGCAAATTGCTCTTGAAAATACTTAGAGAGCTTGTGAGCTATTTCCTCAAGCTGGGCTCGGGTAATGTAGCTCTGGTGTCATTCTACAGGATGAGACTGATTGGACCCTTGTTTAGAAACTGACATGTTTTCTATAAAAAGGAAATATGCCCCACGGTGGGAGCCAAACTATTGATGTATTAGTGATCACACAGTCAATATGTATCTGTTTTTGGATGAGTTTGTTGAGGATTAACGAGAGGTTACTTTCTTCCTAGACTTTATGTCTACTTCTTGAGTTGGGAATCTAAAAAATCCGTATATGTAGAAATTCATGAGAGTACGAGGCTTGGTTCCCCCGTTGTACCTTCGATGATCAAGTTAGCTGATGAACTTAAATGGGGTAAATAAGAACTGTGTGAGGTCTTGTGTGTGTGCAATATGATTTGTAATTTTATATAATTTGGATCAGAATCTAGAAAATCAGGATCAGGGATCAGATCTTTGGTCCTCCGTAAAGATAGAATAGTACATGTATTTATACTAGGGTATAAGGGTAGATTGGTCACTTTGGCCTAGCACTGAGAGGCAATGGCGAAGTGTGGGCTAACAGCTATGTCAGCACCTACTTTATAAGTATCGGCTGGTGATTGGGGAACGAATCACTTCAGCATTAAATGAGAAGTGAGCGGTGGCAAGGCGGTGGCCCACTTGGTCCGATGAGTCATGAAGACTATCGAGGCTAGAGGCATGATGCGCCTGGAGTGCGTTAAATGCGATGCTGACATGTTGTCAGAGAGAGACTTAAGGCAAAACAGTCCTTTAGCTTCGCTGAGAAGTAACGCCCATCGAGTCGTCCTCGTGATGCATTGAACAAGTGGTCGAGTGGACTCGTGGCAAGTCGACTTCGACAATAGGGGGCGACAAGTACCGCCTTTCGAGTCGATACAAATATATAGGCCAAGTTGCTTGGGGCCTGGGCCGCCAAGTCAGCTAAGTCTAAACTCCTGTTGGGCCTGGGCCGCCAAGTTGCTTGGGGCACTATATGCGGAAATACACATGTCCAGTGCTTGGCAATGAATTGCACTTTGGCGAAAATGGGAACACCATAACAAGCATGTTTATGTTAAGTATTTTTGATATTTTTAATAACAAAATTGGAGTCTGTTTTGAATAGAAATCCAATTTGGTTTTTTTCGAATTTGACGAAAATTTTGCAGCGATCAAAGTAACTTAAATCAATTTGGATATTTTCTATTTTAAGAATGTTTTTTTCCTTTTTAAGTAGTTGGTTGAGTCTCCAATATTTAAGAAGAACAGTAAGCCCTATAGGCATTGTTTATTATCAACAAAATTTTTCCTTTTTGTATTTCTCTGTGGATTCAAGTGTTTATCTTCTTTGTGAATTTGAAGAGCTGTTTTTCATAGATTTGACAAGCTCCCTGGTGGATTCGAAAGAAAGCTTCCATGTTGCATCAATATCAGCATGTTTTAAGCATGGGTGGAAATGAATCAAATAATTAACGAGTAGTTCGCTATTATTCATCTACTTGTCTTGATCTTTTTGAATACATTTATTTAATGGCGAACAAATAATTTTAGCATTCGACTCATAATTGAATAAAGTTTTATAAACACACATATGTATTTGATTTGTCTAATTATCAATTATTCATTTAAATTTTCACCCTTTATAACTTGTTTATTACGTGCCTTATATTTTTGCTCACATTTTTTTACTTTAAGTTTTATATTAATTTTGAGAGATTTAAAAATTCCAAAATTATAGGATTATTCTCTACGTGAGTGCAGATCATCAGAAGCATGGTAACCTTCATGAATTAACTAGAAATGTTCTAATAGTTACTGATAACAGTAAAGTGAAGATTCTTCAGAATGCCAAATAATGTTGAAAGAGTCAAGGGAGCAAGTACATTTCAACGTGGCAAAGTCTTTTAGTCTATACACGAACTCAACTGCCACGTCTCCTCCTCTCTCCTCTCTCTGATCACTCTGCGTGAAAAAGTAAAAACATCACTAACTACTACTACCTAGCTAATCATTTTTTTCTACTACATCAATAATATTGGTTAGTTCCAAGCCACTTGGTCCATCTTCTCACTGGCCCAAAAGTCCAACAACAAGAGATCCCCACAATCTTGACATACTGCTCTTTATTTTTGTCTGCTCTTCAATGCAATCTCTCTGGCTCAATTCTATTGGTCACAGGCTCACACCACTGCTGCAGAGAGAAGAAGTACCCAATCAAAACATAAAAATAAAAATATATAAAATAAATTTTGATAAATATGACAGGGAAATCACTGAAAGTTGGAAAAGCATCTTTTTCATGGTCTTGTATATAAAACCATATGCGGCGGAGGTAGAGAGCAACATGTGTCCCACAAGCCATTTAAAAGCTGGCGATCGATTTTACTAAACCTTATGTTATTTTACTAGTGTGGCTCCTGTATTCTCAATGAAATTTTCAAATGTTTGAACTATTGTTTATTGTTTGCACTGATTTTACAATGTTTGTACTAATTTACAGTTGATAGTGAGACGCGATCTACTTTCGCGATACTCACCATAAACAACCACTCGTATAGGACTTTTTACACCTTAAAGTGGGTGGACCCTAATGAACAGTTTGAAAAATAGCATCGGTTTACACACTGGAAAATGATAGGGGCACACCCCCAACCACACCTCCAACCACACTCCTCTCTCTCATTTGCTACAGTGTACCGGACCCCACATGAGATTTTAAAATTTTAAAATCTCATGTGGGGCCCGGTGCACTGTAACAAATGAGAGGGGGTGTGATTGGAGGTGTGGTTGGAGGTGTGGTTGAGGGTGTGCCCCTAGTGCCACCCTTAAACACTCACCATTCGTTTGTGAGGCTCTATTTCTTTCCTCTAGTGGAAAGAACACATGCTGTTCATTGCTTGCATCAGAAAACTCCCAGTTACCTGAAAAAGAATGTAGGTAATTTCTTATTGGATTATTTGAACAGGTGTCTCATGCGTAAATAATAACCGAAAAAAGATTAAAAAATGAACAATTCAATTAGAAACCTGAGAAAAAGGAGCAGCAGGGTCTGTGACCTCCTGATGTAGGTTGTTTGTTGCTGCCTCAAATGCTGTGGGTTGAATGTGACTGTTTTGGATCACAGATGACATTGGTTGTGATATGCTCCCCATTTCCTAAACAATAAAAGGCCATCGACATCAAATATTTGTATATGGAGTATAAATATCAAATAATATATAGGCTTCTTTGAGATCAGAGAACAAAAATTAAAAGGCAATATGATGTCACAATAGGAAAATCATGACTTTGTCATATATATTTTGACCTGCATCAATAGCTGACCTATGCTAAAATTATGGTTTAACTTCATGACCATTCTCAACATGATCAAAAGAGTAGTGGAAAAAGTTCACATGCAAGTCATACATACCTATTGATTAATAAGAAACAATATTTTATCAGCAACATTGATCATAATCAACAACAAATTGAACTGTAGCCACATTCATTTGTGAAAACCCACTATCATATAGTTCATTCATTATGCTAGCTTGCTAAAAAAACCACACGGTACTTTGTATCTGCGTATCTACCTCTGGTTGACTCATGTACTCTTCATAGCCCACTCCAAAGTCATATAAAACAGGGTTCACTGAAGCAAGCCTCATTGAGAGAAACTGAAAGAAGTAACCAGAAAAAAACCCAGTTTCATTAGCCAAAATTATCAGTACACGTGAAAGAGGAAGCAACAGTTGCATGATTTTCCATTTACCTCAACTTGGTTTTGCAAGGATTGCACATAATTGATAATTTCATCCAAAACAAGGGCCTTTCCAGTAACCTGATCATCAAATATTTACCCACAATTAACTTCTTTTTAAATGCATGCGTAGTTGTTGAAATTGCCATTGAATAAATTAGAAGCCTAATAACCTTATCACATCCGGGGACAAGGCCTTGCAATTTCTTCATCCTTTCACTTATCCTCTCCCTTCTTACCTAAAGGAAAAATACACGCACACAAGTAAACAAAATGAACATTTTAACTTTAAAAAAAAAAAAAAAAAACTCTTTTAGTTCGAAACTATAGTGAGTACCCTTTCAGCTAAGCTATGGCTATCTGTTGCTTGGCCTCTCCTAGCCCTCACATGAATATACCCTGAAGGAGGCTCCTCGATTGTTGCCTTATTAGACTTCAATTCCGTAGCTTTCGGCTTCTTCTCTTCAACTTCTCCTTTGGATGTACAAATAGTCTTCTTTCTCCTACTCTTACTTTGCTTAACAACCTAAAGAAATATAAAATTGTCATATGGACATATATAGCTTGGTACTACAGGCCGGTATGCTTATAATCAAATATATTCAAGCGCGGGGGAGCCTAAATACGTGAACTACTACCTTAGTTTGGCTAGTGCTCGAGGGCCCCCCATCACTTTGCTTTCTCTTCTTCTCCAAAGAGACTTGTGGTTTAAGGGGAGGCAATGCATCAAGAGAGCACGTTGAGGCCTCTTGCATGGCCTCAGATGAATTGTAGCCGGTGATCAAGCAAGAGGAGGAGGCGTTGCTCTGCTCTCCATTTTGCTGGTGAGGGAGGAGAGAGATCTCAATAGGGTCTAGAAAGAGAGGACATTGGTGGTGATACAAGAAGGCTTCCATTTTGATGAAATGATGAAGAAATTAAAGATTGGTTTTGACTGTGCTGAGGTACAGAGCACTGAGAAGAGAGAAAGAGGAAATGGATAGAGAGGTCACTGGCTACTAGATATGAAACAAAGAGCAAGGTGGGTCTTGTGGCAGGGTTCCTCTTGGTTTATATAAAAAAGTTAGAGAGAGAGAGAGATGATAAGTCCTCTCATACTTGCTGGGGAAAAAAAATTACTATATAGAGTGTCATTTATTGCAAATCATACATAGAAGATACAAATGTGATGATAATATATAATAGTACTATTAATTTTATATCATTGTGAATAGCAAACAGAGCAGTATAAAATTCAAATATGAGTACAAATCAACGTAATATGAAAACCATAGTAATTCTCTAACTTTAGAATTGGTACTAGGACACATCATATTCTCCTTTCGTATATGGATTTCAATAGAGGATTCAACTTATGACTGTTCACATATTTACTCGTTATTGTGGAGGC